AAGTCCTAAAGACTGCGTGGAGACCCGATGTCCATCTTGACTATTGGATTAACCACATGAGGTTTTACCTGCTGCGAACGTGGTCTGGTGTACATGCGATCAGTGACCTCTAACTGTATTCAGTGCGCGCTTACTCAGTCGGATTCCAGCATACTTTGATATCTATTCAGAACGTCTGACTTCGCCAGTTGGCCTGTTTCTATGCACTAACGGCGTCGTCGTGTGCGTCCGCCGAAACGCACTTGCAGATCAGAACATACAACTTCTTGGTCATTGTTCGCACATGTGCTCCAAATCGAGCGACAGTTTTAGACGCAGTGTCCCCAGCGGCAACTGATCGCAGTGTGGTCGATTTGCGCCCATGGCTGGTGGGCGCCATGTCACCCTACGGCGGGTGTTGTGTCGGAAGTTAGTGCTCACAAGAAGTAAGCTGGCATCTTCACACAAATGAAGTAACCACTCACCATTATCATTACGGGAGCCTACACCATGTTGGCCGCCCAAATGCAGTTCATCAGTGCATAATTTTCCAACTTGAGCGTTCAGATCCCCAACTAGCACTGCAGTGTCCGTGCTTCTTCTGTGATGAAAGAGCTCCTTCAGTTGGCGATAGATTTCATCTTTCACCTAGTCTGTGTTACAGTTTGTGGTGGAGGCTTAGGCCGCAAAAGCAAACGGGCAACGTTTGTCTGCACGCGACTTCGAAGGTTTGAACGAGCCCGATAATTTGAAGGCGCACATCTGGCTGTTGGTTGGGATCCAAACAACCAGAGCAGCTTCAACCCGGGGACTCAAGGTAATACACATACGGCTTGACCGGCACTCGAAACCTCATAATCCCCGAATGGATACAGTGGGAAAACACTGCTAGTGTCAGCTGAATGGGATCACAGAGCGAACACGGAGCCCGAGTCTTTCAGGTGAGTTTCCGATAAGCAGCAGATATCGAACGAGAGGGTCACTGATATCTGGGAAAGTGATGCTTGTTGTCCGATCTGTAACAATGTGCGTACGTTGAGGCAAGCTAACCTGAGGGAGCATCGAAGGCTCCAACTAGAAGCCAATGAACTGGGCTTGTCCGCTTGGTTGGAGTTTGTCGACAGGACAGGAGTGCCGCTCCGCGTTGTATATGAGTTGGAACTAGAGGACAACGGCTTATCAAAGAAACGTTGAGGAGGGCTGAAAATATGGTGGATTAAAGTGAATTTCAAACTGAACGATAAGGATGCGAAAGGGTAAGATGGGGACTAAGGAGACGAAATGGCCTGAGCAGTAGCACCCTCACTCCTATCCACCCTGCTCGATGCACCTGATAGGGCACTGTTTATTATCATCTGCGACGGCTAAACCTTCAATAGCTTATTAGAAAAGAAATTCCTTGTATTACGTTGGCAGCATACTGTTAGGTTACCCGGAGAACCATTAGGGTGATCAACCAAAGGTTCAGTACCTGACCACATAGCAGCGGGTTTGGCAGTAGGCTACCAAGAGTCCGTTTTAGGGAATAAGGTGCCACACTCACTCCACTCTCTAACCTGGAGGGCCAGGTGACTGAGTTTGTCTGGCCTTTGGCTATTGATCAATCTGGTGTGAGTAGCTCTGGTGCAAAAAGCGCTACCTAGCTTAGCTCATTGGATCACTGAGGCACATGGGCCATCACATTACGATAAGATCCAGCCTCATTGTGATGGGGCTTCATGCTGAAGTTACTGTTGCATATTTTGTGCTTCTTCACAGCAGTCGGGCTAAAGTGACGCATTTACGCTTTTTCCGCATTACACTGGATCTGTTTTAATCTATCTTATTTTATTTGCTCATCCCTGTTAATCCTTCGCCTATTTGCTGTTTGTTATGCAGGTTCTTTTTCGGTGTTAGTCGGTTGATATCCTCTAACTTAAATTTGCCCAAAATCACCTTTACATTCTACCACACTTAAGTGTGGTGGAATGTAAAGGTGATTTTGTTCCGATCTGTCATTCTGCCGCACATTTACCGTCCACCTTGAATGTTTATTTTCTTTCTTCTTCTCTGTTGTTTGATACCCTCTGTGTGGCTGCACTTGATGTGAATGTTGACGAGCCACCTACCTGTCGAAATATCGCTACCCCGATTGCACTGGCTCCACCAGACAGTTGGTCATTGTTTGGGAAACGGGGTACACGGTCCTCGGGACCGTGCTAAGCTCTAAGAGTGCTTCCAACCAGCATCGTGAAACGGGCTTCGCCCCACCGACCACCTTGTATACGTCTGCTTCGCATGATTCGCCACTTAGACAGACATGAATTCTGCTGCTGTACACGTAGAAGGATTGTGGGTCGCCCCCCTTGATGAACCATGGTCCCCATCCATCTGCCTTCAGTTCTTATTCCTTCGGGTTTCACTGGATATGGTGTGTATGTGATTGGAGCTGTGGGTGGTACAGCGCAAACCACCCATGGTCGCTATGCAGGGGCAGGCGTCCTGTGGCTGTCCTATGGTGACTGTAATGACAGGCAAACCCGGAATCGAACACTGCTAACCCTTTTGTTCACTTACTGTTGCACTGATATCGCTACCGCACGTTCCAGTCCCAGCCGAAATCAGAGGTCAGCACCTCGAAGCAAAAGCGTTTTGGAGCAGCAGCCACAGAAACGGGTCAACCCCGATCTGTTCACTTCTGGGAAAATAAAGCGCAGCTACCGACGATGGTAATGTAGAACCGATCGTGACCAATGAAGAATTAAGTCACAAGTCATGCGATGAATGTGAATGTTTTTGAAACGATATAATGGTTCAGTTTTTACACCGTGGCTCAGATCCTTTTCTAACTGAAAAATTACGTTTTCTTGCTACTTTTGCTTTATACTAGTCATTGTCGAAGTCCCTGCCACGGTCTCCGCTCCGTAACTCAGATGGTGTCCACGAACGATGTTACATCGTAGACGTCAAATATGAAAGTAGAAAGCAACGAGAGCGGCTTGACCCGACGTGTATTGTAGTGGAGCTACAAGGAAACTTGAGCATATGGGTGTGAACAGCGAGGCAACGTGGCGCGCAACTCACCGCGAAGAAATACGTAATGGAAGAGAGTACAGAAGCGAATGAAATCGTGTTGGAATCACTCAAAATCATATTTTAGTCCACCACACATCCACTCTAAAACTGCGATCCATAAGATAGGTATAGTGTTCGGTTTCCACTACGGATCGGCGCTCACTCCACGAGATATTATTGTTATCGGTTAACTATACCTTTTCCCCATCCATTTAATCTAGCTAAGGCCCAATCTTCCAATAGTCAGTTGAGTCATTGCTGGAGTAAGTCTATTTACAACAGGTTCCGTCTACTATATTGATTCGCCAGCCCGTCGAGATGTTAGCGGCAAACATATGAAATTATTCTCAGTCTTCGTGCGATCCCATATGTAGCATTCCGTTTAGGGCTGTCATGCTCCGTCTTGGACAAATTGGAGCTATTGATTGGGCCTTGCCATTCGGCATTAGGTAGTCCATAGCTTTAAACATGTCTTCAGTGCATTCTGGAAACATTTGAAGAGACGTGACCCTTATCTAGTGCAGTCACATATATGCTGGGCCTCGCCGTATTTTGACTACTTAATCCTACTTGACTAACAATTTTTTTTACAACCATCGTGAATATGTACCGACACTATCTGGTAGGATTTGATCGAACTTCGCTCTTATAGAATGTGGTTACATGGTCTGTCATTGAATTGTGGGTGTCAGTTTGACGCTGTCGGGTGGCGACGCATAACGCCTCTCCTAATCGTTTCTTATCCTCTATTTTCAACCTTTTTTACTGTGTTTTGCCTCGTGCATTAGCATTCATTGAAATGAGATTTTATGTTCTTTCCTTTTTGAGTTCCTTTCCAAACTCATCCTTATTCTTTCTACCCGGCGCATCAGGAAACAATTAAATACACCATTCCCGGGCAACACTTGGCCGACCAGCACGTGATTCGAGTGATCCATTCTAGGTTCATCAATACTTCAAGACACATTGGCTATTCTCGGCTCAACAACGCATTCCACAGGCCCTATTAAAACCCGTAGTTCTCAGTAAAATTCCTCTTCTCTTGTTCTTTGTATATTTCTACCTCTTTCAGATGTGCGAAACATCCGGTCTTGCTGACCTTTGGTAAATACTCCGTTGCTTGTACGCTATAGTATAGTATACTACGCTCCATCTGGTATACCATACATTCTATGGACTGTTTTGTTAAAACTGGGTCTCTTTCTATTCAGCCTATCGACGTATCTCCCTGTTTCTGGAACTTCTTGCTTCACACTTATCGCTGGTGGTCTGAACATATCGTTACTGCGAGTTGACATTGGAATCCAGCAGAATGGGAAAGAAGAGCAAGATTGGAAAAGCACGAAAGGACCGGTTCTATTTTTTGGCCAAGGAGACAGGTATTTATCTTCTTGTCATTGTTACTTCAGGTTTCCGATCGAGAGCGGCCTTTAAACTCATACAGCTTAATAGACGTTTCGGGTTTCTCAACTCCTCCAAAGTTCTCATTGATTTATGTGCCGCTCCAGGCGGTTGGTTACAAGTTTCCTCCAAGGAAATGCCCATCTCAAGTCTTATACTGGGAGTGGACCTGGTACCCATTCAACCTATACCAAGAGTCAAAACGTTTGTCGCTGACATAACGACGGAACGGTGCAAACAGGTTTGCCTACCTTCCAGTACCCTTCACTTGATAGTTGATCCGGTCAGAGCTAATGCAAAATAAAGCTGATGTTGTTCTCCACGATGGTGCCCCGAATGTTGGAACGGCATGGTCCATCGACGAATACGGCCAAGGTGAGGACGTCTTGTAGTTATTATTCTCAGCTCATCTCTGTCTTCAGGCTTTTGCCCTTGCGACGGACTTTCTGCGCAAAGGAGGTTGGTTTATAACTAAGGTGTTTCGCAGTCGAGACTATGAACCATTGAAGTGGGTTTTGTCTCAGTTCTTCCACACTCTTCGAGCTGTGAAGCCGGAAGCATCGCGTATGGAATCTGCGGAAATATTCCTTGTTGGCCAATCTTATCGTGCTCCTGATCGTATTGATAAGCGGTTTTTGGACCCAAGACACGTCTTCGGGGAAGTAGAACAGGTCAAAAACAGGGCAGAGGTTGTTTCTTCTCTTTTGAAGGAGTGCAAGCGGAAAAGGTAAATTTTACTCTCAAACGAACTTGATCCATTTGTAGAAAAGCTGAGGGCTATGCGGAGGGTGATTCTTTGTATCGTGAACTTCGCGTTTCTGATTTTCTCCATGCTAACGATCCCCTGGAAACACTTGCGAAGACTAATAAAGTATGTTTCACCCCTCGAATTTCATAATTTTGACAGATTGTTTTTGATTTAGACGAGGTTAAATGTCATCCATTGACTACTGATGCTATAAAAGCTGACATGGAAGATATCCAAGTTCTTGGGAAAGGTGAAATAAGGTAATTCGTTGTTTTTTGTGTGATCTAGTGACAACTCTGAGTGACTACTTTTGGCTTTTTCGATCGGCTATCCGTTCATTTCCGGCACAGAATGTTCCGTGAGCACGCAGGTCTTGCTAGCCGCATATTTTACCCCCTGCTGCCGGTCCCATGTTATCTTATTAGAGCTATATAGACGATTAGGTGTGGTTTTCGTTTTCCGTACGCAATTCTTGATGCTTTTTCACCTTACTTATTGTGATCTTTGCGATCTTGACGCACAATCAAAGCTCCCCTCCAAGTCGCCTCTTAATATGCTCTCAACTTACTAAAACTAATTAGTGTCCTCCAAGTATCTGGCGATTGATGTTTAAATGCACGACATGAATAGCAGAACTGACGTACTTTTCAGCATACTTTTACTCTGCTTACTTGTGAACCCCGTTTAGGGGCACTAATTTCACTTTCTCAATATGGTACCTAGATGTTAAGAGGGTTTTTTGCGACTGTTTGCATGTCGATTTTCATCCGAAGCCGACCAGTGTGCAGCACATGCTATGTCAACTCACACTGAAGCCGATTGTGCACATCCGGCGTCTACTCTATTCTGTTGCTTGTTATGTCACATCAATGATCGACAGCGCTTCGATTTTGCTTTGGAGGATACGAACTATCCGCGCTTGGGCGGATTTGAATGCATTCATACATCCGTCATTTTCAAAGTCTCAACCATCGCGGAACGTGGTAGGACACTGGCCTATCACAGAGTATCCAGAGCCGCAGTAGACCAGAATTATTTTGTGTATCAGTGGTATGGCCACTTTGCATTGGATAGTCGGTCGCTGGCCGGAAGGATGAGGTGACTACCTTGTAACCCGAAGGTCACCGGTTCAAATCTGCGTAGGTGCAGCAGGTGACCTCACAGTATCCCTAGCCCGTACGCTACCGATGGTGGTCAATTTGTAGCGAAGCATCGGTGCGTCGCGCCGACCTACTGTTGATGTCTTTGTACTGGACTGTGTCGCGTTCCTTCGGGATCCGTCCTCAGTGCACACTCACTCAATGTGAGACCCGGAATGGTAACCCAACTATGACCAATTGTCGGCTGAAGCCTGTGGAACACGGTACATTCCCCGCGACAGCAGACATGATTACAAATAATAGAGAAGTTAAGTGAGAGAAGCGCGGCGTCGTGGCGGGCGCATATCGCAGCGCAGATGACAGGATGGAGTAGAATGGAACTGAGCAAACAATAGAGCAACGCTGAAAAGGACTTCAAGATAATCCTGAAAAAGGCAACGTGCAACCTGACCACCATTGTACGTGGAGGGAAAAGAGCAGAATGTGGCTATACTCCCTACGTATGATGAGAGCAGCGGAAACGCGCTCATAAACAAGGACGTAGTTTACCATCAGCCTACGCACTACATGAGACTGGGTCATAGCTACTATGCAAGGACTTCCAGCCAGATCAACCTAGAACACCGAACGCGCGAGCACGTTGATCGCATCTCCAAACTGCAACTTATGGGTACAAGGCAACTGTGACACATCATCTCTGCTTATCGCTGTTATCCATCGATCAGTTTGCTCATCTGGGTAGTTGTTTCTTCTCAGGCATTCAACTCACCGAAGAGGTGCTTATGCCGATCGGTATGGTATGGCTTGCACTCTTTAGATCACTAGTTCAAATCTACATAGATGCAGCACGCGACCTCACGGTATCCCTAACCGCCTTCAACTGTTGGTGTGCGCGTGGCATCGAAGCGTCAATGCGGTGCACTAGTTTACTGCTGATGCCTTCTCCATTGAAAGCATGCCAAAGCCGATCGTCTTAATTGCTTGTGGAGTATAGTTCTTTTGGACACTCAGAGTGAAGTTTGCCGAAACACATCGTCTAAGTCTTAGTACGAGGCCATCCGGTGTTACGCAAACGTCTTTTGAATTCGGAAAACCTACGTTGGCTACGTTATCACCACCACTATGATACATTTTAGTTAGATGTGAGAATCACTTTAGCGGTCGTACTGCAGTGCAAAGCAGTTGAATGATAAATTGAAAGGAATGGAAAAACATTTCCACCCTGCTTTTTATGATGCGTCGGTAATGATATCGTGGTTGGAAGGACATTGTGCTATTTACAACACAAGCGCCACTGCAATCGGCAGCTGTTTTCAATCAATCCTATTCATCACCTTTAGGTGTCGAGAGCTAACAACCGAGGCCAGCCTCGAACTGAAGACCCTCGTTGCTCCTGACCAAGTTATCGGATGGCATTCCCTCCATCTATCCAAACCCAGGTCACACAGATACCGCGCTTTGCGGGAGTCATTGTCTTCGCATGCGTAACACTGCCCGACCATCTGAGTCTGTTGCGTGCAATAACGGTGCATTTGCTCTTCCTGTGCCGTGAGCAAAGCGGGGAACACTCCATTTGCTCAGACGGTGTTCCAATCAGATATGAGCTCAACTGTGAAGGTACCAGTGGTTGAACGTAACTAGCATCTCTATATCGAACATTACGATGGGCCAGGCTTCATAACCGTACAGTAGGGTTGAATATTCTGCAGCGCTGTGGACTTTACTTTTTAAGGTGGGAGTGATGTCGCGTCGGCGTCAAAAGCGGCAGCGATTAGCAATAACACCCCGAGATTTTGCTGTATGTCGGCTAAGTCACATCCATCATATGTTTTCTGATCATCTACTTAGGCATGCGTTGCATATTGTTCCTACAACTTGTTAGATTACGCCTCGTGGTGACTGGCTGATGTAGCTACGAAATAGCGACAGGATGTTGGCTGAGTTGGCAGTGCGCGGATTAGCATCCATGGATCACATGCATCATTAGTCGGTGACCTTATCCAGCGTGGATGCCATCACGAAGTCGGTGACGCTTTTGCGTTCCGCCCGTTGCATGAAGCAGCTTACCTTGCAGCTCGCTCGTGTTGTTTGTGTTTTTGCTATCTAATTTTACCTTTTTTACTTTTTTGTTTTTCTTACTATTGTTTACTATCATACAGATACGAGTCATTGTGACTGTGTCCACCACACTTTATTTCTCGGATCCTAATTTTTTTAACCTAAGCCAAACTGAATTATCTAATTCTCCAAAGCCGTTCACAGTCCTTAATGCGGAGGCTATGAACCAATGCGAACTCGCAGACACTTACATTCTCTCCACACACGCATTCAGTCTGTACTCGGCGACACGCACTTTATTTCATTTCGCCATCTTTGATTCGGTCGAGCAGTTTGCCTTCTGCCTAAGTTTTGGTACTGCGACAGAGTATCCTATCTCATTTAGAATCAGGGTTTTCTCATTGTCTTGCACATGCTGTTTCACAGCTTCAAACGAATCACTTTGTCTGATATATTCAATGGAGCAGATAGACGAAAATATGCTACTGATGACTTACCCTGCTATTCTGTTCCGCTCTTTCGATACCCATTGTTGGCTTCACCTTGTCTTTTACATAAGTAATGGTGTCTACATTCTTACTAGTGTTCTACTACCTGCAACGGTATTTCCGCACTACTCACCGGTCTAGCGTCAACATATTATAATGTCATGCCTCGCGATTCCTTTGGCAGCATTCAATATCAGCAACGACCTGACTAATGAGCTGCAGTTACACTCCCACTGGATACTTCGTACTCTGAACTGTCCTGCTTTTCTCGAACTCGAATCCATGATTCACAGATACTGGACTAGTTACACTTCCTCTGTCTTCTTGCTATTGTTTACACGTGTCTGGAGATGTTTATGCAACAGCAGGTTAATTGTGACTAGGCATGTTCCTTAGCTGTAGAACCAAGTCTCTTCTGATTGACTGAATCCCCGTGAATAGCCGTCTGTTTTTGGCAACGTCCAAAAAGTATAACACCGTCTACTTGCCCTGAACGCTTTGTTCGTATTCGTGGTATGTCCTTCTACCGACTGTGGTTTTGATATTTCTGTGGACACTCTGTACTTGGTGCGCTAATACGCGGTGCCACTTGTCTGAATAGTGCCAGCTTTCCGGTGTATTGATGCTCGAATGGTGGCAATCGGATCCGTTGATTTACTCTCACAGGTGGGTTAGTAAGACTTGATTTCGAGCACAAGAACAGTCGCAAACGTTTATTGCATCATCATCACCACCACCACCACCATCATCATCATCATCATCCTCATCACACAATAGCTGATGATGCGAAACACGCTTTAACTGTGGGCGGCAAATATAAAAAGACAACGTATAAAAAAGCGAGATTCTAGATATTATAGAATACAAAACTGGTTACACTGCTTTTAGTAACATATTATGCTTCAAGACAGAGATCGTGGTTGGTGGGGGATGGGGCGAAAAAGAAACTCGCAACACAAACGCTGTTGAGGTCGGCTCTTTGCTATGTCAACTACTCTATCAAACCAGATATGTTCACCATCCTTCGGTCCCCAGTACGGCAGTCGGGAAACACCAACCGACTCCAAGTTCGAAGTGTTGACGTTCATTCCTCTTGATTAAGTCATCGCTGGGCTTCCTCTTTTTTCTTCCATCCGCATCCAGACTTGCAAACAGCGCATGTCGCGGGAGTCTGTGTGCTCGCATACGCAACACTTTACCCAGCTGTCGGAGCGTGGTGCGTGAAATAACGATGCTGTATGGTTCACTCACTATTCCTGTACCAAACACACGACGCCTAACACATTGCTCACGCTAAGTTACGAAGACAACAATGATTGCATGTAACTATTTTGTCTGTCTACTTGGATGGGTCAAGTTTCAGGGCCGGAACGTTGCATTGCAGGATGAGCTTGATGTCGTGCCCCCGCCATAGATGACGGTTATTGGCAAAGTCGCCTCGAGCATTTGCTATGCGGTTTGTGCTATTATATTCCATTCCACTGGTGCTAATCTATCTTCCTAGATACCCGAATTTCTCGACGAACACCAAGGGTCAGCGCAGGGGTGCGCCCCTACCAATTTTAGCGAAGCACTTTGTATTTCACCGGTGCAAAGCATAGCTCGAAACTACTG